GGAGACCGTTTTTTATTCTTTAGATCAAACAATCAGAAAACTCCGCTAAAAATTACCTACTCGGCTTTCCACGGTGTTGGTTTCCTCTACGCTAAGCGCATGCTGAAAGAATTTGGCTTCCCTATGGCTCAGTTCTTCTCTGTGAAGGTAGCGTAGTTTGTTTCTCTTATCTCTTGAAATTTTTGTGAATTATAATTCTAGGAACAACAAGACCCAAATCCTGATTTCCCTACAGTTCCATTCCCAAATCCAGAGGAGGGGCACAAGGTATCGCTTTTTCTCTTATCTACTGTGCGACTAAGTTTTCTTTTTCGACTGCATTGATTGCACTTCGTTAACTCAATCTAATGCCACTAATGAAAATTAAAACCTTCTAGTCACTGTTTCATTTTAACTTCTAAAATTTCTACAAGTAAAGGCACTTTTTCAGGTATTAACCTTATCTTTCAAAACCGCGGATGCAAATGGATCAACGTTCATTATTGCCAATGATCCAGATGCTGATAGAATCCAGATCGCTGAGAAGCAGAAGAAGTGAGTGGGGTGTTTCTTAACCAACATTAGCATTAGTTACTATCTCGATAAGTATTGCCGACTGGAGGATCAATATTGATTAGAAGGTTAACTCTATTGCCAAGGTGCAATTAATTGCATTCTGAGCACCTTAAAGGCAGTTTTTGGGTAAAACTGAAGATTATGAGTATTTATTTTAATGATAGCCGATTCTCTGACTAAGCTACCACACACTGGCAAATAATTCGTTGTTGTAAGAGAGAAAATGGCGACTTTTAGGTCAGTCCGCCTCTTTTAGGTCACTTCAATCGCCGGTGATTCCCCCACTCCCTCTTATACTGCTTGTTTTGTTTTCTTTCAAAAGTTATGCTTTTTAGCGAGAAAGGCATGCGGTCGTTTTGGAAGCAAAAGTTGAAAATTTGAGTTGCCTCTGTGCCATTCGTCCGGTCAGTCCATGGAGTGTCCGGAGTCTCTGTTTTTTCTTTAACAACTTCACGGTAATTGAACCTACTACTGTTACTCGGGTTCAGCACGCCGAAATAGTCCAGAGAAGTGGGGAACTCGGAGTCGAAATTTTGCCCGGGCAATTCCTATAGGCCTCAGAAAAGAGAAAGGGAGATGGGTAGCCTAGACTGCATAATACGCATTTTTTAATAGCATCGAAACTACATGTTTAAA